GATATCAAGAAAAAGTATTGTTTATTAAAACTTTCGAATTATAGAGTTTTATTTATTAAACAAACAAAATATAATTTTCAACAACACGTTTTGAAATCGGTATAAATTGTTGTAATATTATCTTAATTATCCAGATCTTTTTCCAATAAAGAAAAATAATAAAGAATTATAGATAAAAGGTTGATAAAAAAACTTGTTTGTTATTTAAAACGGAAACTAGATTGTTTTTTTCATTCAAAAAGATTTAAAAAATTGCACAATCTAAGTTGACAAATTGACGTTTTTAATCAAACCACTTTTTGAATTGTGTGCAAGTCAAAAAGAGGTTTAATTGGTTATTTATCAGATTTTAAACAATTTAAAATATTAAAAAATCCAGTGTTTTAAAATAAAATCTTCAATATTTGAATCTGGTTATTTATTTAATAAAATAATTTGGAAGCAAAATAAAACAGCACATATTTATGTATATTTTTAGAAAAACATACAAATTAAAAAATTTTACACTTCCTTAAAAACGAAACCAGTTTTTATTAAAACAAAAGTTTTTCTAAAATAAGTGTTGTCTAATTTGAATTACACTAAATTATGCTGTATATACTCAAGGTTTAATTAAATTAAAAAGGTTTATTATCCAAATATTAAATGGTAGACATTTTAATCACGTTTTTTATTATTAAACTTAAAGTACCAAAAAGTCTATAATAGATGAAAATAAAATATTATAAATAACTAAAAAAACAAATATCAAGGAGACAACGTGGCCGAGTGGTCCAAGGCGTATGACTCGAAATCATTTCTCATTTGAGGCGTAGGTTCAAATCCTGCCGTTGTCGTTATTTTATTTTGGATGATAAAAAACCAAAATATATTAATTGTGTATAAAACAAAATGCATTTGCCGGGACTCGAACCCGGATCTCCACCTTAAAAGGGTGGAATTCTGCCCTTAGACCACAAATGCTTCTTATATTTAAAAATTATTAATGAAGCTTTATCTCACATAATATAAATCATAAATAAAACAAAATCAATGGATTATTTAGTGTGATACTCAATACACAATCAATTATAATCATGTTTCAAACAAGTATCAACAAAAAAGTTAAATTAATCAATTGCTATTTTAATTTATTATTACTATTTTTGTTATTATTACAAAACTTCTTTTTGATATTAAATTGTAATTGTTCAAAAGATACTTACTATCTGGTTATACTTTAAATAATTATTAAGTTTCGAATTGGGATTTTCAACAGACCAATATATCGATGATTAAAAATGTCCCGGCGGGGATCGAACCCGCGACCCTCGCATAACTCTATTCTATAAGTACGATGCACTACCGGCTGTGCTACGGGGCCTTTTTAATATAAAAAAATGTCCAATGTTTTAGTGACATACTTTTAACCCTTCCAATACCAGGAATTTCCAAAAAATGTATACTTAATTTCATCTTATTCATTTTGAGTGTATTTTAGAGAGAATAAATGCAAAAAAACGCTTTAAACTTTTAACAACCATGGAAAATACCAGGAAACAAAATTATTAGTAAAAAATAATTTAAAATGTTATAATTTAATAGTAAATTATAACCTAAAATCGTATTTTTATTGAAAAAATGTTCACTTTTTTCAACGAGGGAGACTTGAAGATTCCTCTGATTATTCTCTTTTCAAGTTGAAAAAGTTTTTGTTTTTATATCAAAAAAATAGTATAGTATATTAAACTAAACACAATAATAATTGTTACAAAAAGGAGTTTCAGAATGTAAAAATGAATTATATAACTTTTCAATTTGAATATTTATTATTGAAAAACAAGGGATACGTCATTCCTTGAATATTCAGAAAAGCGATTACATCAAACAAAAAAACACTGTGATCTCATAATTATTTTTTTGTCTTTTTTGTAATTCAGTGAAAAATAAAATAATTCGAGTTTGTCAAAAAAGAGTAAAATATAAAACTGAAAAAATAAGAAGAAAATACACTTTTGTGAAAATCACATTTTTTAGTTCTTTCTTATTCAATAAACAATAAAAACCTTTAAATTTAATAATAAATGAATAAGATTGATTTTTAATTGTCAGAAACATCAGTTTGAATAGAAAAAGAGTCATAAACAACTCAAGGAGTAAAATAAAGACAGTAAAACCAAAATTTGTCTTAAATGATCATGACACCTTGTTTATTTAATTTCGTGTGTCTTCCAGTTGTGAGTAATAAAGATATGACTTTTTCAAAAAAAAGATAAATGTATTATGAATACAGAGAGCAAATTTTTCTATATGATTGGTAAGACAAGTATTTGTTTGTTATTATTAAACAAATGGTAACATATAATCTGTTTTGTCTGATTATTTTTTTGTTTTGGCATTTGTTTTTTGAAAATGCATTTTTGGGATGAAAATCAAAACCAGAAAATTAATGAAAACGAAAGATTTACTGATAAATGGTGTATACTTTATGTATATACTTATAAGATAGTGACGCTTATCAACCAGATTTTGTATTCTATACACCCACTTTCACAATATATAGCTATTTGAAGTGAATATACTGTTTGTTGTTTGTGGCGTTTATACAGGGATACACAATAGGAACTGACCAACAAATAGATTCACAATTCTTCTATTTTGAATTGATATACCAACTCAGTAGAGTGATGCTATCCTTACAAATTCAAAATCAATGATAAAGCATACAAAAACGAAGAATCAGGGTGATGTGAGTAAGAGATTTGGAAATTATGTAATCACATCATTTATTTGTATTATATTATAGTAAAAAATTAGTATAATAATAATTTTATAAAAAAAAGCAAAGCCCCTCCCCCTATAAATATGTTAAAAAACGCTTTGAATATTGTATGATATAGAGAAATGATTTTCAGATATCACAAAAGAAACAGAAAAATAACAAAGAAAATAAATAGATTATTAACTATAATAAAACCTATAAAACCAAAGAAGTAATTTACTCCATTTCCATCAATAACTCTGTCAATTCATTGAGGAAATTCAACCTGTCCACCTTATCGTGGTGATGATGATATACCTTGTAGGCATTGAGGGCAGCGATGTCAAGTAAATCATAAAGTATTCTCACATTCCATCTTGAAGTGCGCCTTCTACAAGTGTAAGTATGTATCATCTGATCTGCACTATCAACGCCTCCCATTGTCGCATTGTATTGTTTTATCACATTTGGTTTGTGTACACTCACAAGTTTGCCATCCTTTCCCCTCACTTGCTCCTGAACGGTGTACAACTCTTTAGCATTATGCATCGTCGTCATAATGAGCACCAACTTCTTCTTTTCGTTATAGTAAGAAAGCAATTTGCATACACCCTTTGTATACACTTCCGTTGAATCTGCCTCTCTTGTAGTAGCCTTCTTATCATCATTGGGGTCATAATTTTTGATTTGCTTGGCTTCTTCTGGTACCTCAACTCTGTTTTTTCGCACACTCCCAAGCAATGTTGAACCATATTGAGCCAAATAATGTGCCAATCTTAAGCTGCAGAAAAGTTGTCGCATACAACTGTCACAAACTTTCCCATACACAATTGCGGAGCTACCATATCTATCGTCACACGAAATCCTTGATTTTCTTTTTTCTTGTCGCATTTTCCACAGTACATCTGTAGGTTTATAACCATACCACTTTCACAATCACAGCACATCTTTTTGTTATTCATTGAACATATTATCAAACACAATATCAACAACAAGTCAATTACCGATGTATATGTCTCAACACCGTGAATCTCCGACTTCATTGATTATTCTTACAACAAAAACAAAAAACAAAACTTGATGCCGTAACGCTGAGGTTTGGACTTGATGAATACCTTTGCCCATATCTTTCCCTTGAATGCGCAAAGGTGTTCATCAACCGATAGTGTGGTGCTCGGTGTAAAGTATTTGTTGTTCACTAAGTTGTGAATAAAAGCTTCCAACACTTCCCTAATTTTGCCAAATTTGTCATTTGAGTTTGGCGTGTTTGATGCTTTGATTAACCCTTTTTCTATAGTCTCTTCATCATTTACTTTTTGTCTCACTTCAACATCCTTTTTTAGCTTCTCTCCGGTCAGGTCAACAGGATGTTTTTTGACCCACTCATCACAACTCAAATAGTCTTCTTCTTCAGTCTCTTCTTTATTCTCTGGATTTTCCTCTTCATCGGATGCACTGTCCTCACTCTCTTCTTCATCACCTATAAAACAACTCTCTTTCTCAACTTCATCCGGAAAAGTTGTGACATCGTAAGTCTCTATGTTAGCATTGATAAGTTGAAAAACATTTCTGGGCATAGCTTTACCATAAATATTTGGTTTCCCGTGTTTTTCGTTCCAAAGCTCGAAATTGGATTCTTTATGTCGTGGTGTGCTCCCATATATAGTAAAATGCCGAAATATCGTATAATGTCTATTTTTGTTATTTGGGGTTTACCTTATTTTCCTGATAATTTGGCGTTGGTAAATGCTGTTATTTTTTCGACTAAATTTTCGTCAAAAAACCCAAAAACAAGTCAGAAGCAGTCGAATTACAAAATTCTGCTTTATAGTCAGCACCCACATTCGCAACCTTCCTTTTGAACTTTTTCTTTTCTTTGTTGATGGGGCCCATTGCTTTCCACTTGTAGTCACCAACAATCAAGTCTTCCATGTGATAAGAACGAGTTTGGATGTTTTTTTTTGTAACATGAATGTTGGTATAATGGTTTTATAATAGTTTAATTATTATATCACATAATTCAAATTAAATTAATAAAAAATATATTATAATAACATTTAAAACAAAATAACATTCATTATACTTTATAAAAATACTTTAAATAAAAATAAATATAAACAACAACCCTGAAAGTTGAACTGAAAAATAATATGGAAATAACACCAAAAGGATGACATAACATAAACATGTTAACGAAGAATGGGTAAATGTATACACAAGCACGCAAATACAACTTTTGTACTCAAATGTAATAGTTTGTTTATAGTTTCTATGTGCTCTGTCAAATACTAACAAACAGATTCGTAATTCTCAAAAATGTACGTGTAAACCTTTCATGTTAAATGTTTGTTTTTGAGTAAATTTTAATTATCAATAACTATGAGGGGGTAAAATTCTGCAGTGTTTCATGAATATACACAGTTAAATATACACGCAAAAAACATATTTGAACAAATACACGTAGTAGATAATGAGTGAAAAGAACAACTTTTATTTGCTTTGGACTGATGTTTGTTGATGTTTATTTATTTTCATTTTATGTATACTTGTTATGATGTAATATCTTTTGTCTATAACCAAAATAAACGATAAAAGCGTCGAAAACGAAATTATATAACAGAAAAGAAGAAGAGTGAGATGATGATACACTAAAGGGACAAAAAGAAAAGTGAAAATGTTCAATGAATTAGCAAGTAACACACATAACCCCACATAAGGGTTCAACGAATAAACTATACTTTTTAATTTAAACCAATTATTTTAATTCATCGTTTTTGTTGTCATTATAGTAAATATATAATAATAAAACTTTACAATATGAACTGTAAACTTCAATTTTTTAATTCTTTTTCGTATCTTCGAAACATTTGGCATTTTTAACACTTGTTATACCTTTTGAATTATTTTTTATTATAAACAACAAGTAATTGTTACACTCAATACAAAATTGCTACTCACTTATTCAGTTTTTCTGTTGTTTTGATAAAAAAAATGACGGTTATTTGTTTATACATTATTTTTACTGGCTTTCATGAACTATAAAATGGTAATTTTCCTGTCAACTTTTCAGAATTTTGGAATTGAATTTTGTTTTTTTGAAAATTTTTGAAAAAAAAATAAAAATTAAATTTTGTTGATTTCTGGTACTGTAAGGGTTAATAATAATATTTATTTTTCATTAATTTTAAAACTAAATCGAAAACGATTGTGTTTTTTGTTATAAACCAATTATATTATTTTTGGAAATTCAGAACATTTTGATTGAGTATTTTAAACAATAACATAATATTATAAACTTTGAAATACGTGTAATACATTTTAAAGTGTAAAATTATATTATTTTTTGTGACTCTCGATTTTAATACAAATTGTGGCAGTTGATTTGAAAACAAAACCGACATTGTAGAAACATGTGTCATTGGTTTTTGTTATTGATTTTTTGTCATTTTTATTATCACTGTTTTTAAGTTTGCGTTCTTGTTTTTTGTTATAAAATGTATAACCGGGAATTGAACTCGGAAACAGTGGTCTGGAAATAGAAACCCCGCCGCATTGGCCTTAGTGCTTTCTATATATAATATGAATTCTTTATATATTGACACTTCGATTAACATGTGTATCAAATGTTTTTCAATATGTGAATTGAATTGGTTTAACACATTTATCGGAATATGTCAAACACATGTTGATAAATAAACTATAAAAACAAATTCAAATACAGAGTATGGTTTATGTTTTGAATTCGATTCGGAATGTGAAACGAGCTCAAAAACAACAAAAAAATGCTACAAATGTAACCTGGTTATTATTCACATTCTGTTTTACCATTTACTTGTTAACAATGAGACGAGACACGTGGAAACAATTGTGATAAACAATATGTACTTCATATAAATTTGGTAACAATTTAAAACTTGATGGAAATTCGCTTTAATGCGAGTTGTGTCAACATTTGATTCTAATTGTCAGACACGCGCTTCCAATGGAGAGAAAAAGAAAGTGTCTGACTTGTAAAGATAAGAACAGACCTACCAATAATGAGATTTACAATCAGTGTGTTACAAATATATCGTGTTTCAAAGCACAAAGACTGACTAATGTGAGAGCTGTTTGACAATTAACGTCAACTACATTACATGCTTATCAGACTCAACAAAGAAATTTAGTGTCTGCAAAGCAGAGTATTAACATTTAGGTTTTGAAATTTTGGCAAAGATCGATTAAAATCCAACTTATATTGTAAAATTAGTAATAATTAATTATTAAAAATAATAATAATTAATCGTTTATAGCTTTTTTTAAAGAAGTTTACATTAATATAAAATATAATATATTTTTTATAAATAATTATTATTATTATTATAATAATTTATTATAAATGTTATTATTCGGAATAGTATATTTTTAGTATTTATAATCAGGGTGGGCTATAAGATCCTATTTTTTTTTGTTATTGGAAAAAAACTTAAAAAACAATAAAATGGTAAATAACATTATCATTTTTAAAAAACAAAAAGAAAATGACAAAACACAATTATTTATACCAAAAGATAAAATAAAAAAAATAAAACGATAATTTATATTAGACACAAAATTATTTTCAAATTACTTTAGAATACAACAATATACATATATCTTTGTGTTAATATAATTGTACGTTAAAACCTTTCATTTGTAAATTATACATGCAAATAAAACTTATTTAAAGTTGCTCTGATAACAGTTTTTTTATTTGGGTGATAATAATTATTTTGACTGATTATTATCGTATTATGAATGATCATATTTATCAAGAAAATTAACTAAAGATAAGTTTTACATTTTTTTGAAAGTAATATGGTTGACTTCATTCGAAAAATAATACATTGTTTGTTTTGTATTATTGCAAAAGATAATGAAAATACTTCTATTTGATTGTTTAATTTATACGATAATTTAAAAGGGACACAAATGAACGATTCAAAACCTTTGTTAAACTGACAAATATACATATATATACATTTACAATTAACAATAATGTATATGTTGAAAAAGTATGTTAGTTGTTCAAATAAAATTTTTATGTTGAAATCACTAAAATTATTTCTAATAAATTTTATTGGTTGTAAGTATCTTTTGTGTACATTACAATTATAATGAGTGAATGTAATTATTTGATTTTAAAAACTCTGCATCCCATAATATCATATGCTTTTTACTGTTTAATTTTTGTTCTTTAAAACTGGATTATAACACATTGTAATGATGATTTAAACTATACAGAAATTTTGTTTAAATCGTTAACTATAGTTTTACCAATTATTTTAAAAACATTTTAACTCTAAAAAACTTTTTGAATTTTTTGTTGACAATATGCTAAAACTTAAAATGAACTGACACGTATTAGAGATTGCCACGAAGTTGTTTAAAAACTGGATCTAGGCCGACCCTGAATTTATAACACATGAATTTGGTAGATTATTTTTAATTTTAACAATTTAATATGAAAATAATTACATCTCAATAACATATGTCAAAACGGATTGATGTTTTCTCCATGCAAATTGTTGTGATATATTTGAAGGAATATAACGACTTTATTAACATCGTTTTGGTATGTAAAAAGTATAAGAATGTACTTGACCGTGTTCGAATGAATCCAATTCAAATCACTCCAAAAACAAAGAACCTATTTAAATGCATTCAAACTCAAAAAATATTTTCTCCATTTGATGTAAAACTGAACACTGAAAAATTGTTTTTTAATTATCCAAAAAGTGCAAAAGAGTGTTTAATCGAATTTAATAATTTTAATGTCTGTCCATTTTCTGTTTTTACAAGAGAAGATCAAACTTATTTTAATGATAATATTCCGGACTTTGTGAGGATAATAGGAGAAAATACATTCAAAGGATGTAAAGAGGCTTCAATAACACTTCCTAACTCAGTTATCGAAATTTTTCAAAACGCATTTTCTGGATGCTCAAACATTACAGAAATTGTACTACCACCACATCTCACACACATTGGAAATAGTGCGTTTTACAATTGTAAAAGTTTAAAAGAGATAAAGCTCCCCGAACTGCTTGAGTATATTCCAAACTCGTGTTTCTTTGGATGCACCTCTCTTTCTTCTGTGAACTTTGGAACAAATGTCACTTTAATAGGACATGATGCTTTTCGTAAATGCGGATTTAAAGACTTCACAATTGACAAGAACGTATTTATTAAAAAATCAATTTTTGTATGCAACACACTTACAAAGATTACATTTTGTGGTAAAAAGTGCATTCTATGTAGTACGTGTTGTGAATGTTTACAACTAAAAGAAGTTGTGATGGACGACAACGTGGAAATGATTGCAAATTACGCGTTTGTGGATTGTATGTCACTCGAGAAGATCACATTGTCTGCAAATTTGGAAGTTATTGGACCTAACGCATTTTCTTACTGTCGAAAACTAATGCAATTTGATGTTCCACATAAAGTTCGATTAGTTGGAAGTTTTGCATTTGAAAAATGTGAACAATTGAAAGAACTTGTTTTTGGTGAGAATGTTGTGTTTGATAAAGGGGGGTGTTTTGAGAAGTGCACTTCATTGACTCGATTGAATGTACCAATTAATCATATGAAATATTTGTACATCGCAACTGAAAATGAAAAAGAAATATTTGAAAGACTTGGCATTGAAGTTTTGAATGTAATGAAAAGCAAATGTGTAAATGAAAGTGTGTTCAAGTTTGACAATTTTTGTGACACAAGGGATACCATTTCAAATCATGCGAATTACATCCATCTTGGTGATTTGGACGTGTTTGATTCAAATTCGTATTATTTAAGTGAACATCCAAGGATATACATTCCCTCTACTGTTGTTGATGGTGACATTGGATTCAGCAGATTTGACAATCCGATTGAAAAAATTGTTATTCCAAACAATTTACTTTTGATTCAAGAAAACGACTTTTATGTTCGCAACGCAAAAAGTATCCTAATATCATCCATTGTCACAAAAATACAGAGATATTGCTTTTCTAATTCATTGATTAAAGAATTTGCTGTACCTCAAAGTGTGCGTAAAATTGAATCAAAAGCGTTCTCTGATTCATCTGATATGACGTCGCTTTACATCCCAAAAAGTGTCACAAAAATTGGGAAACATGTTTTTGTGGGGTGCACCAATTTAAAATCAATTGTATTTGAAGATGGTCGTCATTTTGATATTGAAATGGAAACTGAAGATCAAGAAAATGTTTGTAATGTGACACTTAATACAGCTAAATTAGATGACAACGTCGAGTTTCCTCTTGATAGTACAAAAATAAAAGTACCATCGAGTGTCACAAAAATATGTTCTCCGTATTTTAAAAAATACGCCAATCTATGTGAAGTCGTATTGCCAACAACAATCAAAAAGATTGAAAAATTCATCTTTGTTGGGTGCACTAAACTTACTAAAATAACATTTTATGATTCTTTTAATGATTTACACAAATTAAATGGTAAAAGCGACACAATTGAAAAATTTAAAAAGTACCTTTTTGACACCGTTAGTGTGAGTTACGCGTTTTATCTTCAAATGAAGGCGTTTGGGTATATATTTAACAACGTAAATTTAACATCAAAAGACTTGGAATTGTATGGCACAGAAATAGATTATTCTGTTATTAAAAGCATCAACGATGTTGATAAAAATGTGATTATAAAGAACATTATCAATTTAAAAAAATACATCTCAGAATCTTATTGTGATATTACTAAATTTGTTATACCGTCAAAAATTGAATGTATTAATACATGTAATTTTGTTAGTGAAAATCTCAGAGAAATCGATATCTCATTAGTTACGAAAAAAGTCACTAGATATTGTTTTAGTGGTGCGCAATTTCTACAAAGTGTCACATTTTCAAACACATTAGAAAAAATCGGAGATGAAGTCTTTATTAATTGTAATTCATTGAAAAATATAACCTTTCCAAAAAGTCTCAAAAAAGTTGGGAAAAGGTGTTTTGCAAATTGTTATTCACTTGAAAATGTGTGTTGTGAGTCAAAAGAAGTTGTTTACAACTCGCAGTGTTTCATGAATTGTTTTAACTTAAATTGTGTTCCAAAAATTCAACATTTAAAAAATGGCGTTTTTTGGGGTTGCAATTCTCTTGTCAAATTTGACAGTTTTGAAAATGTTGAAAGTATTCCTCATTGTACGTTTATGAAGTGCTACAATTTAAGAGAAATCATATTACCAAAGACTTTGAAAACAATTGGAAAATTCGCATTCAAAAACTGTGTTTCACTCGAAAGCGTCACATTCCCAAAATTGCTAAATACAATCGAAGATGGATGTTACATGAATTGCTCTAAGCTTTGTCGTGTCAATTTGGGACATTTAAACATAACATTTGGAAGTGATGTTTTCGAAGGATGCACATCACTTAATTCGATACTTTTTGAAAACGAAAATGTTTTATTTTATGATGGAGAAGTCAGTTACACGCTTTATAAACAATTTGAGAAAAATCAAATTGTTTGTGACAACGTAAAAGTGAAATTTAACGATTTGACGATTTTTGGAATTGATATTTTAAAAGATAAAAAGGTTCGTCGGATTGATGAAGGAGCGTTTTTTAACAACACAACAATCACCAAAATCGAAATACCAAATAACATCACTAATATTGGAGACTTTTGTTTTGCTTGTGCAACACAACTTGAAAGAGTTGTGTTGCCGTCCTCAATAACAGAACTCCCTCCTTTCTGTTTTGATAATTGTGTATCATTGAAGACAATCAATTTGGAACATATTAAGAAAATCGGGATGGGGTGTTTCGACAACACAAAGTTTGACAACGTAATATTAAATTAAAAGACAAATTATTTTTTTGAATTTTAATTTACAACACGTTATTTATTCAAATTCATCTTTTTGTGATAAATTAATTCTTTAATTATAAACGATTTGGTCACTTTAAAAATACATAAAAACTATAACCATAAAAAGCAATTTAACGTTATGAGTGTTAAATAAATTATTAGTGGGGCTGTTTTGGTAACAAACAGGGTTGTTTTTAAGATATTTTATAAAGTCTGTTTTCTATTTAACTATATTCTAAAAATATAACAAAGAAAAGAACAAGACCGAAAATATTAAACCATTATTTACTATACTCAATATCGCTAATTAAAATCCATTAACTATTAATAAAATTGCCATTAATTAAAACTAATGATAAACAAATCATTAGCATTGACTTTTTTCCAAATCACTTGTTGTCGTCTTCAATTTGACCCAAATGATAATTTGACGTGTCTACTCTATCAAATATGACATTTTATTCATTTTGAATAACCTGGTTGACATGATTTATTTCGTCATATTCACATTTCAAGACCAACATATCATTCGTTTTGGCTTTTTAATTTTTCAGTTGTCAAGCAATTTCGTTTATTGTTATTTTTAGCGCACTTTTATAAAAAGAACAAAAAAATAAAATACAAACCATATTTTAGAAATACCACTTTATTTTTATTATAAATTATAATACTGTTATTATAAATAATAGTAAAACCCCAATATTGTTAAATAGAAAACAGACTTTATTTTATATTTCTAAAAAAATAGAAAGTGTTTTTATAATTATATGTGTACAAATTGGACTCCAATTTTGAACATATTATATAAATAAAGATTAAGAAATTTTTGAAAGTACTCGTGAAAGTCCAAACGGAACTGATAATAAAGGTGGGTAACTTAACAATTTTAACCAATACAAGAGAAGTTAGTATAACTAATTTCATATGTGAAAGCAATGACAAAATAAGTAAAAAGAAACCCTCAACTGCAAAAACGCACAAAAAAATTTAAACAAAAAAGAGATCCAAGAACAAAGAAAAAACTCGAGTAGTAGCAGAAAACACGTAAAGAGGAAAAGAAGAAGTTGGTAAACAGAAAGAAGTTGTTATTACTCAAAATTGAAGGTTGTAAAGAAGGTAAAGAAATTTTATAACAAAGTAAAAAAAGACCAAAAAATTAAAAAATAAGGTAACCAGAAAATTGTCATAGACTTATAATAATAGTATTAAACAAACTAAAAAAATATGAATAAATTTATTTCCATAGAAATTAACTGAACAATCAAATATGGGTTTAATATAAATTAAAAACAGAAATATACATTAAAGTATATAAAACTAAATGTACGACAATTATCTGATGATCTTTATATAAATAATATTTAAAATATTCACAATATAACAAAAGCTAAAAGAAAAAAAATATTGTTGTTAATTTATTTTTTGAACTTACAGTAGGAAAAAAATTGGATGCTGAAAAAAAAGGATGCTAATCTAAATATAAATATATTTTGGTGTTTTTCATTTTATTAATTATTTAGATAATTATTTTTATCAAATGTTATAGTAATTATAAAAATAGTAATTTAACTGGGATGTGGGTCTTGAAAAAAACTTAAAATAATTAATATTTTATTAAACAATTTTAACAAACTTATAAATAAAATTAAAACTCAGAACTAATAATACTTATATGGAACAACAGCATTACCGCCCGTTTCACTAAAAACGACAATATAAGAGTGTTGGAACCAATTAAACTTGGTGAAATGTTAACACCATGTTTTATTAAAGATAACAAACAATTATTCAAATTTATCATTGATAAAAAACTTACATTTACACCAAACAAAGTCTATCTAGTTAACAAATTGAACAATTCCCAATTTCATTTGAAACACGATTGACCAATTTTCTTTAGCCCGCCAAAAAATCGGTAAGCTAATTGTGGCTGACACGTGTCGGCGGATGAAAATAGGACAAAGCATCGAAAATAACAAACATTTTAATTGCGGCTTTTGTTTTTGATTAAAAATCGGGAAAATTACCCTAATAAGTATTTTTGGAAATAAAAAATCTATTTGTGCAAAACAATTATTATAATAAGATTATTATGATTGAAAATATGGGAAAATTACCCTAAAAAATAAAAAACATGTCTTTTGTGAATAAAGTTGAAACATGATAACAAAAAATATATCAAAATAAATATTATTTGTCGTTGTTTTTATTAGGTATTTAAAAATTATTAACACCAAACATTCATTATTCCTATTATTTAACTACTCATTATTATTAAATATTAATTATTTAATAAACTATTAGAATTAAAAATAATTTGATTTATTTAAAATTTTTAAATATTACAAATTTATAATTATTTAATTATATAAAGTTTTCAAAAATTTATTCATACTTAACCCACCATACAAACAATTCAATTACACTTACTGATGGTTTGTATGTTTTGAATTAATTGAATCATAAGGAATAAGATTATGGGGTTTTAAATCTAATTAAATAAAGTAATTAATAAATGTAATAAATATACTATTGATTGTTTTTAAAATTGAAATGACTCATTTATTTTTAAAACCACTAAAAGTGTATATTTTAAATAATATTATTCAAATTATATATTTAATAACTCAGTGTTTTCATAATTATTTGACTAAGTTTATGATTTTTTTGAATTAAACAATTATTGTTATATAATGAATAATATGATATAAAGAACATCATGATAAATATTTGTAAAAACACCTTTGCACAACACATAGGCAATTATTTAGTAAGTTTTTCCTTATAGAGTTTTGTTTGAAACACCCAACAAATTGTGAAAATAATACCAATGTCCAATTAAAATTGATAATGAAAATAATAAACACAAAGACATACAAACAATACATGATAAATGATTTAATTCATAAAAATTATATTATAAATTATTTCAGTTTTGGTGATGATGAAAAAGGCCGAATGCATACGAAAAATGCTTTGATAAAAAATAATATATGCCCACAGATAAATTAATTTAATACCCAAATAATAAAACAGTTTTAAAAGTACAAGTAAATCAATAAAAATATATATTTGGTTCAAATTTATTTGAATTAAATAATGTAATGCACACATATTTGGTCGTCTCAGTTAAATTGAGATGTTTACTCTCTGAAACACGTTGTTGTTTTAAAGACAACATTTACAAAAAATAATAATTAAAAATTTTTTTGAACAATCTGTTTTTATTATTATTTTCAAATTTCAATTTATATTTGGTTTAACATTTTTAATATATTGATTTAATTGGGGCAGACCTTTCCCACCCTCACCCCGTCTAAATATAGAATTAATTTACTATATTTTATAATTTTTTAATTATAATTATAGTAAATGGGCGGTTTGGATAATATTAGGTCTGGTTCCCGAATTCAAGAAATGCCGAAAATTCACCTCGAGTTAGTGGAAACCGAGTGAGACGGAGCATTGAAAAGAAGGCTCTGAAGCCCGCACTCAAACAGTCTGTTTGTGCACCGTTTCACCCACTTTCCAAGTCCTCCCTTGGCGCGGATCCCCCCTGACCCCCCCCCCCGCAAGCGGGGGGAACCACATCCGCGTCCACACAGTACAGACAAAGAAAGTGGGTGACATGGGGACGCACAAACAGTGGCTGAAAAGTGGATTCCTTCAAAAACACTCGCGGCAAATATTTTATTTTGGTAAACGGGGTGAGGGTGGGAAAGGTCTGCCCCGATTTAATTTATATAATATGTCATATTGAATAAATAAATATATTTTATATTTTATATTCATCAATATTATCAATAAAATACATATTTAAATAATAAATTAACTACGAGTTAAAGATTGTAAATATGATTATAAAAGCTAAAAATTTATTTTTATTTTGATTTTATTGTTATTTTTAGTATAAAAATCTTTATACTAGCAGTCAAATGTGTCCAAATTTTATATTAACATTAAACATAACATAAGGTTTTCTTACCAATTACTGGTTTGTTTTGTATTCAATTTTACAAATTATTAAAATACAAAAAATAACATTTTTAATAAATAATTGCTTAAATTTTAAAATTGTAATGCAGTTTCAGGAATTAACAAAAAATCCAACAGGAAATGGTCAATCGTGTTTGAAAAAGTTGAACATTCAACAACAACCAAAGACTTTATTACAAAACCGAGAATGATTTATGAAACAATAAAAAAGATATAGAATTGTTAAACGAAATAAGAGGAGCCACAATGAGATTACAAAATGGGTTAATATATAATAAATATAAACACAACAATAAATGTAGACAAAGATCACTCGCTGTTTTATTAATTGTTAACCGCGGTGTCGTTTCGAAACAATTTTTTATTATAACAAAGAATCAATTGACGGTAAAAATTATATTGGAAGGCGCTCTTTAATTTCCCCTTTAACAGAACTCGTTTTTTCATCATTTTATTTATTTTGTTCTACTCATAATTTGGCAATAACACTCAAATCATTCGAAATGATATTATTAAAAACACAGTCAACAAAAGAAAAAAAGACACCTTAAAAATGGTTGTTATCTCACATGAATTTAAAATACATAGATGGTCTAACAGAAGATATGGGTAGATTAAGAATTGACCCATCAAATGTTATTTTTAATTACTTGGAACTTCCAAAATTTGGTAGTATACCAATTCAAATGGTAGTTAATATTGATGAAATCGGGTTTGAAGATTATGCAGATCCAAAAATGTAAATTTGTTGGTGCCATCAACAGTTGATGCCAAAAAATACGAATCTGTTATAATAGGGGTAGTAAACGCACAATTGTAATGTTTGTGATATCTTTATCGGGACAAGTCTGTTATTCAGCAGTTGTGGTTGGGTTAAAAAACGTTCCTGTTGAATCCTCCAAACGAAATTGTGATTTATATTTCTTTTACTTTGAGATTGGATTTGCCACAAAGAAAATATTCACAACTTGGATTGAAGAAAGGGTAATACCAACTATCATTTCAACAAGAGTTAAATATTGGTTAGATATAAATACCCCATCTTTGATCACTATGGATGGTTTCACTGGTTATGATATTGAAATATTGGGGAAATGTGTGAACCAAACAATATACCCATTTATTTTTATGTGCCTCATACTTCTCATTTGGTACAATCTTTAAACCTTTGTCTATTTGGTAGTGTTAAAAAACAAGAGTAATAGTACACCCTTATTTGCAACACGAATTAGTATTGACCAGCAACCTCGTGGAAATGGAGTTTTCACTGTGTCAAGTGATTACAAGAGTGATGATCGCGAAAGATTTTCTGAAG